AGCTGAGGTAGTGATTGTCAGGTTTCTCCACTGTTCCTCTGTGCCCCACCCCACTCCCTGCTTCTGTACCGTACTCTTTGGGAGAGAGTCATTCTATTCAGTCCACACTTAAGAAATGGAGAGTTGTACTCCTTCTCTTTGAGGGCAGAGAACTTGCATAAATTACTTGGAATTCTTCTGCAAAGGACATTTGTCTCTACTCTTCCCTTTATTTCTTTATTCGATCAATTTATTTGAATCAGTACGGACTCATGGATATTTATTTTACTTTGGGTTACAACCCAATACTACTTTATCAATTTTGTTGCTCAGATTGTTCCAACTTTGGTCACTGGGCACTCTTTCTGTTGGTTCCTATGTCCCTTGGTCATACCCCCTGTCAACAAAGGGGGTCTTGTTTTTGTTTTTTGTTTGCTTTTTGAGCACTACCTTACCTTCCAGCACTACAAGATGCTCCAGGCTTATCTTGTGTTTTTTGCCACATTAAAAAAAATTCCCAGTGCTCTACCTATTTAACCCACACCCTGCAAAAAACCCGATAATCACTAATCTTAGTCACCACTATAGTTTTGCCTTTTCCAGAATGTCACATTGGTATAATTTTTTACACTTTTTCACACTGGCTTCATTACTTAATATACATTTTAAGACTCACCCATGTCTTTTTGTGGCTTGATAGCTTATTTCTTTTTATCGCCGGGTAATAATTCCATTGCGTGACTATACCACATTTTGTTTATCCATTCACTTCCTGAAGGACATCTTGGTAGCTTCTAGTTTTTGGTGATTATGAAGGAAGCTGCTATAAACATTCATGTGCAAGTTTTTATGTGGAGAGAAGTTTTCAAGTCAGTTGAGTAAATATGTAGGAGTATGATTGCTGGATCATATGGTAAGACTATACTTAGCTTTGTAAGAAACTGTCAAACTGTCTTCCAAAGTGGCTATACCGTTTTGCATTCCCACTAGCAATAAATGAGAGTAAACATTACTAAACTGAAAATAAGAGAGGTGGGAAGAGGAGGAAGATGAGGGAGGAGGAGGAGGAGGAGGTGGGGGAGAGAACAGAGAATGAGAGACATTTCAGATAAAATCCTCAGTGTAACATACGTATAATTGGAGTCCGACAGGACATTCTCTTCAAGAATGTGGCAAAAGATGTATTTGAAGAGATAATGGCCAAGAAGTTTCCGTATTTAATGGAAGACATAAAGTATCCTGCAATTTTGGTTTTTATTTGTAGGAGGGGGGAAAACTGTTGATATAAGTTTGTATATCAGCCAAAAAAAGCAGGTCCAATTGAATCTTGGATGGCCCAATGTATTTAATTCTATTTGTGAATGTGAGAGGGATAGTAAAAACAAAAGAAAGAAGAAAAGAAGGAAGGGAAGGAAAAAGGGGGGAAAAGAAATAAACAAGCTTCATCCCACAAGCAGTCTAATACAGATAGCAATAGGGAAAGCTTGATAAAGAAATGGACTCAAGGGACACCTGGGTGGCTCAGTTGGTTAAGCACCTGCCTTTGGCTCAGGTCATGATCCCAGAGTCCTAGGGTTGAGTCTCAAGCCTGAATCGAGTCCCACATTAGGCTCTCTGCTCAGCGGGGAGTCTGCTCCTCTCTCTCCCTCTGCCCCTCCCCTGCTCATGCCCTCTCTCTTGCTCTCTCTCTCAAATAAATAAAGTCTTAAAAAAATAATGGACTCAAGCACTATTGCTGCCATGTTTGGCCTTAGAAACATCATTTAAAAGCAAGGTCGGCGTCTTTCTTTAAAATGAGGAAGATGACCAAACCTGGCTTCTACTTTATAATGACTGTTATTATGATAGTACTTGTGATATATTTCTAGATCCTTGGTCAATTTTTTCCTATAAACTCAAAATTTATTGATATTGTTCTTCCTAAAGTCACATACTATAACAAACCTAACTGTTTTGCTCTTTTTTTCCCAAGGATCAGTAAACCATAAAATAGGGAGTATATTTGGATTTCAGTTTATGTTTTCATGTAAATTTATCTGCATTTCCTTGAAGTTACAATAATGTTCTTTTTGATTCACATTTCTGAGTATTTTACCAATTTAGTAATCTAAGAAATTTAGATTGAGCACTTAATATTTTATTATGTTCAACTGTTTTATGCTAAATTGCTTTAAGCCATTTTTCAATCCATGGGGCCAAGCCGATTTAAATCTGTTGTGTATGAAAGGTCACTTTGTGAGCAGCTACTCCAATGCCATTAAATTTCAATTTGTGTGTTATTTTAACTAATTCTGCAGTTCCAAACAGATTCCTCAAAAGTTATAAGAAAAAGGAAAGTAACCAATGGTTTGTTTTCATTAATCCTAAATTATACTTCTGTAAGTGCAGTGTGAACACCAAATAGTGTGATTGGTGAAACACACTGTTCAGAATTTGTGCAACACACAGATAAGTATTGTGAAAATGCACATCCATTTTTAAAATGCTTCCATTTTTTTAGAGCATTTCTAGAACTCTTCTTTGACAATTGTCTTAAGAGCCTGCAGCACACTTTATTTTTTTGTTTAAATTCAATTAGCCAACATATAGTACATCATTTTTTGATGTAGTGTTCAATGATTCATTGGTTGCATATAACACCCAGTGCTCATCACATCACGTGCCCTCCTTAATGCGCATCACCCAGTTACCGCATCTCCCCACCCACCTCCCCTTCCACAACCCTCAGTTTGTTTCCCAGAGTCAAGAGTCTCTCATGGTTTGTCTCCCTCTCTGATTTCTTCCCATTCAGTTTTCCCTCCCTCCCCCTATGGTCCTCTGCACTATTTCTTATATTCCACATATGAGTGAAGCCGTATGATAATTGTCTTTCTCTGATTGACTTATTTCACCTAGCATAATACCCTCCAGTTCCATCCATGTCGATGTAATAGTAGGTATTCATCCTTTCTGACGACTAATATTCCATTGTATATATGAACCACATCTTCTTTACCCATTCATCTATTGAAGGACATCGCAGCTCCTTCCACAGTTTGGCTGTTGTGGACATTGCTGCTATGAACATTGGGGTGCAGGTGTCCCTTCTTTTCACAACACCCACAGCACACTTTAAAAGAGATTGTGTCTGGTGGCAAATCTTTAATTTGATTAATAACCCAATGGAATGTGGGTCTGATTAATTACCTAAAGGAGTTTGGGCTAAGCCTAGTGACATGTTAAGATGGGAATTAATATTTAATACTTATTATGTGTTAGATGCTTGACTTGGGGTGACCAATGAATCCGGAGAAACTCATTTTGGGTCCAAAAATGAAGTGTAACTATAGAATATGGACCAATGTCATGGATGATTTTCCCACTGGAGGCAATGCAGCATGGTAGGAAAGTATCTGTATTTAGTAAGGCCGACAGGTTTGAATTATCATCCTAACACTCTCCACCCACCCTCATCACTTGGCCTGAGTCAAGGCACTTAGACTCTGAGACTTGTTTCCTCATTTGCAAAAGAAGCTGACTAAACCTATCTCAATAAATTTTCAAGAATAAAATCTTTAAAAATACAAAATACTTAGCATAATTAGGCCCCCTTCCCTCTTCTGAAGGTGACAACTGTGAGGGGGAAATACTCATTAGGATGAAGGGGGCCCAGCATTCTTTTTCATTGAATTTTATTATTTTATGGTTGCATTTTCCTATTTTCTCATCAGATATTAATTCCAAGGTTATTTGTTACTTTTCTACATGGGGCAAAAATCTGCTTGCCATTTCGGTGTTTTGGGGCTAAGGGACTGTGTGCATGTGTGAGTCACCTAGTTGTGGGATGGGATGATAGAGGGGGTTGTGAAAGATGAAGCTGAACATATAAGTTGAGACCAGATTATAGAGGTCTTTGAATGACATATTAAAGGTTGAGACATTATCCAATAGAAAAGGTGGCTACTAAGAGCTTTGGAGCAGAGAAAAAATAAGTTTTGTCTGTGCTTTGGGAAGATAATTGACATGCTAGACAAAATTTCCTGACAGCGGGGTCTGTTTCTTACTTATCAGCACATCCTTTACTCTTCTTTATACCAATGAAAAGAAAAAGGAATGGCTGGATGGGAGGATGGGAGTGGGAATCAGAACACAGCGGGGAGACCATGATGCGCTGGAAGAAAATGTCACAGAGTTACTACAGACACAGTGACTGGCTGAGTGTCAGAGCGGAGGAAGATGGGGGAGACTTGAAAAGAACCCTGAGGCAGCTGGCTTGGATGACAGCTCAGGGTGGGTGGCCGGGTGGTTGCCATTAACAGAAATAGAAAACACAGAGTGAGAAACCAGTTTTGAAAATTAGAGGAAACAACAAGTCTGATTTTAGTTCAGTGAATTTGGAATTGAGGTGGAAATGTCCAACAGGCAAATGAAAACACAGGTCTGGGTTGAGCAGAGGTCAAAACTAATGACAAAGATTTGTTTGTGGAGTCATATCCATAAAGGTGTTAGCTGAAGTCTTGGGGGCAGATGAAATGATCCTTGGAGAATGTTGATCAAGACTGGCCAGTTACAGGAGCATGGAGAATACTAACATTACCAGATGGCTGTAGGACAGGAATCACAAAAAGGTAGTAGGAAAAATGGGCACAGATATACCACGAGAGGGCAATGTCATGGAGCCTAAAAAGAGAAGGGCCCAGGAGAAGGGACAAGTACAATGAAGTCTGGAAGGCACTGGTAGGTTTGCCTGGAGGAGATCACCTGTGAGCTCTTTGAGAGCCGTTGCCACTGGGGAACACTGGAGCTGATTATAGTGATAGGTCAAGTAGAGGCTGGGCTGTTGGGAGACAAAAGTGCTTCCTCTTTTATCTTCAACTATCTCTTGTTAGTCTCTTTAGAAGACTCTTCTCTCTGCTGCCCCAGTAAATGCTTATGTTACCTAGGACTCTGTCCTTGGCTCTATGCTTATAACAGGGTTCTCTTGGTTTCAAATAACAGAAAACAACTCCAGCTGGCTTGAGCAGAAAGATTTATTGGAAGGATACAGGGTTACCTCATAGGACCCAAAGTGTTATGACTGGGCTTTGCACACAAGCTTTAACCAGAAAGCAAGTACCATAGGGTTTCTCCAGCTTCATTCTTGTTCTCCTCTAGCTATTTCACTTTCTGCTCTCATTGCAAACCAGCTGCCTCGGTTTTCCAGGCCATGTGGTGGAAAACATGTCTGCATTTGCTCCTGAGTCATAACCACCCACTCAGCCACTCAGAGGAGCACTGCTATGTCTCACTCACTCTTCTTCTTGATGTCTCCAAAGGGAAGGGATGGAGTTGATCAACTTGCATGGATGCCCACCCTTGGGCCATTCAACTGAGGGTAGAACAACAAGGTCACACTATACAGACAGCATCATGTGGTTTGGGGATGAGGGTAGGGACTGGGACCTGGAAGTGAGAAGCTGAAGGGAAAACTTACAGGATGAGGATCTGGATTGGGCCTAGGGGAAGTGATGAGGAGAGAGTGGCATGAGCAGCTTCTCACCTCCCCTTTCTTTTTGATCTTTGCTCTGAGAGCGTGGACCCTCCTAAGCAGCAAATCCTAGGCGTGCTCTCCATCCAAACTAGGTACAATTTCTTCCAAGAAAGTGGAATGGCTGCCTGGCTTTTATCAACTTCCACTCCCTGTGACCAGCCCTCAGTACACTTGGAGTGTCCAGTGGCCATGTCTATACCCTCTAGATGAACCAGAGTTGACTGATCCAGAGGCCAACCAGAGCCTCTTTCTGGGGTCTTTGGACTTGGAACTGGACAGATCATGGGCCAACTCCTTTTTGGAACCAAGTGAGGCTGATGGTTCATATGGCACAGAGGTGGGGTCTGGAGGTACTTGCACTGCTAGTTATCTTGAAACTCAGCTGCACCACCGCCCTCCTTATGTTAGATTCCGTAAGCTAGCCCAGTATTTTCTAATAAGTTCCCTTTGCATCTAAGCTCGTTTGGGTAGATTTCTGTCATTGAGACCGAAAAAAGCCTGGACTAATCCAGGGTCAAGGGAGTTGCCCGATAGCTATTCCCAGCCTGGCCTCTTGCCTCCCACATCAACTGGAGAAAGTGAATCCTCTCTTTCTCTTGTCATGTTTCCCGGGAGAAATAACGTCCAAATGGTGACTGCAGTTCAAGGTTTTAGCATTCTGGCAATTTCTGAAGTACTGGCACTTTCTTGGTGGCTTACTCTGATTTCGATATTTAAAAAAATCTAAAATCAGTATCACTTATATAATGAGATGAAGACCAATGACTCAACTATTTAAGTTCTGATGAAAACACTTCCTGAACAAAACTCTACCCAAAGTCAGAAAGCGCTTTCCATCAGCTGGAACAATTTGTACTAAAACACACATGATACTCAAGGATACCTTGGATCCACTTTGCTTTTGAAACAATATTCATTTGTACTTCTCAATGATTTTCAAAGTTTTCTTCATTTTTGATAATGTTTAGTTTGCTGATCTTTGAATAAGATTTTTAAAACAGTCTTTTTATTTTGGAATAGCTTTAGATTTGCAGAAAAATTGTGAAGATACTACTACTTATTGTTAACTAAAGTCCATTCTTTATTAGTCCTTACCTCATGTTCTTTTTTCTATTCCAAGAACATCAAATTATATTGTTTTGTCTCCTGAGGCTCCTTTGGTTTATAATAAGTTTAAGACCTTGTTTTTATCTGCCAATAATTTGTGTTCAAGTGATGCTTGTTTAATGTTTCTATTGTACAAATGTCTATTTTTACTTGATCTTTAAATGTTTACTACTTTTAAAATTTGAATTAGATGTTTTCCTAGTGTTAACGTTACGATTTCTGAACACTTAGAGCTAAAATATTGGCACTGATACTAGCATTTATGTAAAATGCGTGCTGAGGGTCCCGTGTCACAGTTTCTGTTCCGGCACAGCAATTACCAGATCCCCCGGACCGACGGGCAAAAGACGGAGAATGTGAACGCAGACGGCTCAGGCTCTTGGTGCAAGCGGGGCTCCCCACAGCCAGGAAGCGTGCAGCAGAGGACACAGCAGAGTAGCCACACGAACCCCAGGCCCAAGCCATCTGAAAGGGCTCCGCAAATAAGTCTTTTGCCCCCAGTATCCTTCCTTACTGCATGCTGTTCTTCCTGTGTATACAGCTGGACAAGACTTACTTGTGTCAGCCCAATCTGGTTTTTTTTTAATCACGTACAGCGAGTGCCCTAGGGCCATTTTTCAATGATGATTTTGACACTGGGTCCATTATCTTAGAGAAATCTTAAGTCCTTGTTTTTCTAATGCTTTTTTGATCATTGCTTGGAACATCGTTAAGCACTCAGTACACACAGGTGCTATTATTTGTTCAAAACAAGTTGAATGCAAGAAGGAAATTGGTACCATTGGCAGGAAAAAGTGACTTCTCTCCAGGCATTAGGAACCAACGAGAATCAGGGAGCGAGCAGGTGGGATGGTGAGGACTAGTGAGTGGAGCGCCCCAGCCCACAGCGTGGGTGGGTGTGGTGGGTTGAGAGTGAAGAGGAGGGGTGGGGACCTGCCCTAGTGGCCGAGCCAGCAGCAGCCTCGCTCAGGGCTGCTAGGCCCATGGAAGACTACCTGTAATGACCACCTACCTCTAGGATTCTGCGATGCAAGTAATATCAGCATCTGAAAACCACAATGGAGAGTTTAATCACAAGTATGCAGCATAATTACATCACTAACGGAGCAGCGTTTGACATTTAAATATACATTACAATCTATTTCTCTCCCCAGAAGTTGCCAAAAGCAGTTCACAATAGTTAGGCTTCATTTTGTCCATAGTTCATGGCATATTCAAAGTCTTTAAAGCTGACAAGACCGTCTGAGTCTTGATCTACTTCCCTGGAAAGTGAAACAAGAAATTTAGTTATTTACAGGTTATTTTTGTCACACTTCTGCATCAAGAGCACTCCACAATCTTTATTTCTTTGCATGTCTATGAGTGAGAGGCACCTACTTGAAGGCAAATTTGATGCCTATTTTTTTCTTATACTGATAACGCCTATGGTGGGAAGGAAAGGAAAACATATTCATTAAAACCTACAAAAATAATATATTCAATACATTTAAAGGGATGAAGCCAAATGCACAGGTTTTTTTTTAAAAAAGCAGAAATGACGGTTTTTCTTGTCATCCTGCACATTCTTTCTGTGATGTATCAACAAATATATATGCAATACACAACAGAAATGTGTAATAAACCAACGAGAGATAAGAAAAATGTTTGGGGAATAAATAGCGATGATGGGAACAATGATTGACACCTGCACCGAGCTGCCTTGGCATTCCTTGTCTCATCGAATCTCAGCATGGTGCTGGGATGGGTCCACTTTACAGACAGAGACACTGAGCTGAAAGCGGTCCACCAACTTCACAAGATCACACTGCTGGTAAGTGGGCAGACTTGGAACGCAAATCGAGACCATGATATTCCCAAACCAACGCTCTCTAAGTACTCTACTGCACGTTGCCTCCCTACGTAAATAGACTAGTCCAAGGAGAAGGGGTTGTATTGCAATTTCACGTGGCTAACTCTAGCTCCAGAAGTCTTCACTGGCCTCGGAAGTTGTGTTAAATCCTCACAAATATCCAATCAGCTTTTCGGACTCCTAGGAAGAGCAGTGAAGATGGGAGCCTCTGGCTGGTTGGCTGAGGCTGTGGGTGGCCTCAGTTGGGTTGGCCGTGTGTGTCCTGAGAACCACTGAGACAGGAGCATTGCTCCCTCAACAGGGACAGAGAAATCGTGCCCCCTCCACATGGGTAAGATAACACATGTCAGAAGGACAAAAATCACACATTTCAACCATGACAGGAAAGGTAACGTTTATTTCAGAAGTGTGTTTGAAAGGGTAACTGATGAGCAGTGGTCACAATTCCTCTTTGGGGGGCCTTCTAAAACAATGCATTACATTCCTTATGTAGAGCTCTTGTGGTTGATGCAAATTACATTTTGTTGAAACAACAAATGGTATCAACCATGACACAGGGCTTTTGAAAGCAAAGACTGGCCCAAGTAACAGAGCCACTAATCACTGTAATAGTTTTAAAGCAGGCTTTTAAAATATTGAATTCTAAAATAAACTTTCTGAATATTTCATGCCAAAGTCTCCGAAGTCTATAATGGTTCTGGATAGTGATGGTAATTTTTCATTCTTTTGAAGTAGAGAAAATCCCTATTTCTCTGCCCCAGGGTGAAACCATGTTGCAGTGTGTTCGTAGAAAATGACTGTAGACTACAGAGGCCATTATTTTTGCTACTTCTTTTGGTAAAATATACATGATTTCATGCTATACAGGACCAAAAGCAGAATGTCAGATCTCTTCTAAGGGATTAGAAATAATCAGTATCACATGTTACTGACTACGGAATATAAACCTTCCCTTTTATTAAATTAGATAATTGAAGATTCTTAATATTGCCTATGTGTTTTTTCTGAAGGAAATGGATTAGGTAAGTGGCCTTTTTTTCTTTCCACTCTGAACTGGTATGGTTGAACTACAAATCCCAGAGGGTGGGTTAAAGAGGATAACTAGAAAAGTAATGTTTAGAATAAACTGCTTCCGAGAATATTTTCTCAGTGTGTTTGTTCACTTACTGAGATGCTGAATGTTTGTGGAAAAGGGAATCCCTTTTTCTCAGTAAATAAACTTCATTGTAATTGCATTCACTTACTTTTCTTGCTGTCTTTGCCAAAACTTCCCATCATAAAATGGGCACGGTATAACCAAGAATCGTTAAAATGGAAACATTTATTCATAAGGTTTGTAGTGGCATTTTATTCATATAGTGAATGGAGGAACATCGTGTTTATATTTAGAATGAGACGGGGTAAAATACTTTCTATCTTCTGACTTTTCCTCCTCATTATTGTGTGTGTGTGAGAGAGAGAGTGAGAGAGAGAGAGAGAGAGAGAGAGCGTGGTCTGGTCGTCTCAAGGAGGGTGAAGAGGAAATTTACATTTCAGAGCTATAATTTTAAAAGCTGAAATATATTGTTTTTCATTGCGGGCAGAGTTGCCTTGAAGAAGGAAGGTTTCACGGCACCCACACTTGAACAGCAGAGTGGTGGAAGAGCAGATGCGGCTGGTGGCTAGACGCAGTCTGCGCGGAGATGAAGACACGTCTTTAGGGACCAAGTCTCATTGTTCCCGTTTACCGCATTCCACGTCAACAGGAGTTCGCTCCGGTTCTGAAAGGAGGGCATGCTGTTCTGGTGTGACCAACACACACTGAGCACAAAATACTCCACCGCCTCTCACCCCAACTAGAAATGAATTCAAGGAGGGTGAGAACTTTCTCCTGTTTCTGGCTGTGTCCCCACCTCTCAGCCCATAGCAGACGACAAATGTTTGCAGAGTGCATGAATTTGTGGAATCAATGAATCGGAGAAACAGCTGACAACATTATGGAATATCTACCAACTCCCAGGAAGGGTTGGGGGTCGAAGAAAGAGAGTATATCATCACTGCTTTTACGGAGTCTGGAAACCAGCCAGAGAAATAATATGCACTGAAGAAGGCCCCTAGGAACCATCGCCCGGGGACCCATAAGAAATAGTCAGTTATGGTCTCCACACCCAATCGCATTTTGCAAACACAGACTAGGTGCAAGAGAGACCAAGTGAGAGAGAGGTGAGCTCTGGCAAATGAGGCTACAGAGCAGAACACGGATGGAAGGAACCACTTGAGTGTCGGGCTGAACAACACAGAGATAAATACAGAGCAGGAAATTGGAAACTGAGGCAGACGCTAGACACATCTGAGTCTAACCTGCCCTGTAGCCGAAGCCCGAGCGCTCCGACCCAGCTAAGCAGCAGCTCTTCCGCCAGACACGTGGATATAGATACAGACAAGTATAAGGGCGTCTATTTCAGAACCGGCTTTTCAAAGGAGTTAACAAAGCTCATATAGATGTAATGAGAGGAAAATAAATGCCGTTAACAACAGTAACCGCTGTCTAGAAATGTAGGTCCAGCTAAATTGAAGCCTTCCTGGTTTGCTTGTTTTTGAGATGCAAAAGGCAGACGTGGGACTGATTTGTGGAGCAGAGACTCAGCAGAGCTGAGCTGTTCTGTGTAACTCAGCACGAACAATTTAGGATCCTCGGGTGGAAGGGGATGACAAGCCAGATAAGAGAGACAATAGGAAGAAGGGGCCACGAAGAAGCAGGAGGTGGGGATACTCCATGAAGGGAAGTGGCCCCTGAGAAAGTCTGCAGGGGTGTGGTGATCAGAAGTCCTTTAATTAACGGTTATGTTTACCTTGTGTTTCAAAGGTGTCTGTGTTACTCGTTATAACCCCCCGTATCTTCACCAAGGGGTGCAACAGGCACACACTCCACTGGGGATGGTGTGTGTGTATGTGTGTGTGTTGGGGGGTGGTCCTGTGTTGACTTCGAAGCTTAAGTCTGGGTTAGGAGAGGAGTTTCACCTGAGCAGGTGCACGAGCCAGTAAGAACAGTGGGGAAGGGTTCGACGATCCATCAGCCAAATTAATGCAGAGAAATGCGAACTCAGAGTCACGGGCCTCCCAGAAACTGTAAAAAAGCTCCAGAAGTGCTTTAAAATCCTGCAGGGTGTGCAATGGGGCTTCCAGGCAACACTGTTTTAATTGTGATGCACAGGAACACCCAGGCTGACACTGGGACACATTGAGAATTTCAGGCAAGACCAGACTGTGTCCACTTAGCTAGGTTCTGACAGTTTTCTGTTAAAATATAAACATTTTCTGACTCATCCTGTAAGTGGTTATAATTATTTTCATCAGCATGAGCTTTAGCATTTGTCTGTTACATCCTGACTTGTTAAGCAAGATTCTGTTCTCTCCTTTTTGTGATGCTGTGTGGACTCCAACAGCCAGGACTAGATGGGCTGTGACCCAGAGGCTAAGTGGGCCCCACCCTGAAGGAGCCAGGGTTTCACACTGCGATTCTTTTACTAAGGGAGGCCAGAGTGTTGCTTTAATATGTTCTGAAGAGAAACATAGGGGGTTTTCTAATTTTAAAAATATATAAATAGTGACTGTTTTTCACAAGTAGTGTTTCTTGTACGAAAATATTTACACAATAACTATTTCTTGTAATCTTGAGAAAGTAGCTATTTTTTGGAAAATAGTTTTTGTAAAATAATTCAAGATTGCTGCATGGCCAGGTCTCCCAAGCCGGATTTCAGACTGGAGTACATGCTTTTGCCCACGTTACTTAAAAAAATTTTTAATAAATAATTTTTTAAAATTAAAAATGAAGGAAAGAAACAAAGAGGGAATGCTTTAATTTCATTACATTGAAACAAAGGAATATTCTCTATCAAAATGATAGAGACTATCAACGTGACATTTTTGAGTGGAAACAAGAACACAAACTAGTATGTATTATAATTACAATCTTATAAATGTCTAATTCATTTGGGCAGAACTTGAATGTGAAACGGTAAGCAGAAACTTCTCTTTTGGGTTATTTGGTCTTAGAGTATTTTTTAATATTATTGATATTTTTCAACTGAAGGAATATTTTCCTTCAGTCCAAATTTTCTAAAAAGCTGGCCTTATTTTACAATGTGTAAACCCTCAACAGCCAGAGCAGCACTGGGCTGGATGATCCTTTACTGTGGGGGTCTGTCCTGGGCGCTGCAGCATCCCTGGGCTCTATCCTCAGGGTGTCTGTGGTACCCTCCCCTCCTCGCTCCCCAGCTATGACAGCCCAAAATGTTTCCGGACATTGCCGAGTGTCCCTTGAGGGACAAAATCGTCCCTGTTTCAAAAGTACTAAGCTAGAGGAACCACAGTTGGAGGCAATTCTTTGGAACATTCCAGCTAAATCTACACTTACTACAATAATTGCTCTAAGGACTTTTTTTTGGTTAAACAGGTGATTTCAGGGGCAGCTGAGGCACACATGTTTCTTGGATGGATTATGCAGATAACTGCCCCAACGCTCTGTCTTGCTGACACCAAGGTCCTAAATGGAGCCCAGAGAAGACCGCACTCGAGAGGCAAGCTCTTGGTGTGATAACAGAGCCAGTGACAGGCACATCTGTGTTCCCAGCAAATACACTGACAGACAGCAATTGTTTTGAGTCACTGTGATCGTCACACAGGGTTTTGAAAGTTGGCGCTGTATTTGATTCACCTGCAATGTGAATGAGAAATTTAATGTGGAGGCAAAGATTTAAATTAGAAAAGTTTTCTTGGTGGAATTTTTGGGGTGGGGGAAAAAAGGAGAGAGAATCTCTTTCTCTTTGATTCTTTATGGAATAATTTAAGCTAAAGTCAAAACTGCCATCACATTAGGGACAAAGCTGTCATCCTGACTGAGCAGTGAGAATAGAAATTACCCTCCAAGCAAGGAGCTCCTGCTGGGGATGAGAGGACCCGCCAATTGAAGATGTGATGATGACAGCCTTCTCTTCTGAGGAGCCCGCTGGTTCTTTCCACTGGCGAGCTTGCCTCTTTGTTGATGAGAGTCCTGCCGGGCTCTATGGCAATCCAGTTGGTAATGTGTTTATTAATTTTACCTCCTTAAAGACACATGTTAAGAAAAGCCATTCAGACATGCAGGAAAGATAAGAGATGTGTAGACGGTTTCTGGTCTTTTCTAGGTTCCTGTGGGACTCTGGCTGTTCAGTGAGCGGTGGACTCCCCGCACACCCACCTCGTGTTTTCACCCCATCTTTTAGCCCAGTCATGGCTGGAGTACCACCCCTCGGTGCACCCCACACCAAGTAGCTCTCACTGTCTTCCTGGGACTGCTAACACCTGGGGGTGGCCCTCGCACGGATACTGCCTGGAAGTGTGAAAAAATAAGGAGTTGACACCCCATAGGCCAACCCCTGCCCAGGGAGGGAGAAGGCGTCAGTGGATGTCGGCTCTCTCCTGTCCCTCAGGCAGGCAGACAACTCTGAAGTCGTACGCTTGGCTCCCTGGAGGTTCTGGTGGGATCAAGCTCTAGTCGCTTCCAGAAGTCACAAACTTGGTTCACAGATCCTTGTACTGGCTTGCCCTCAGTCTCTGTCCTGCGCTTGCTCACGGAGGTCATTTCCCAAACAAACAACCTGCATGCGATTCCTCACCTAAAGCCCCACTTTCAGGAAGAACCCAGGCTGAGATACAGTGGAAAGTTTATTTTGAGAGATAAAGTTCTCCCAGGGCATTTCAGTTGTCATCAGCAATAACCTGTCACGTCAGATTCTCAATTCAGGTGAGGGGTATCTCACTACTTGAAATAGATCAGAGTGTTCCTCTGGAAACATTTTTAGAGCAAATGAAATATTGCCTTTAAGAAGAGCTCTGAAGTTTGAAGCTCAAGACAACTGAAATGCCAGGGGTCACCAGAAAATGATAGGAGTAGTCTTCTCTGTCTCAAACACATGTCTTATTTAATAATATTTAGTCTGTCAGCAATTACTTACTCCTTTAGCATGAGAACAAGATGTTCCTAGGGAGAAGAGAGGACTCTGGCCTTGTGGATACAGAGGTGCAGCCGTGGACTGGCCACGAGAAGGTGGTGGAATTGGGCATGCTGGATGAACCGTGAAGGATAAATGGCTGGCCAGACCAGGTCAGGAATGAAGAATGACACAAGCCAGGCAAAATTTAAGACCAGGTTCAGCTTTCTAAATGAAAGACGCAGTGGATTTTGTTGGGTCCTTCCCCAGCATCCATCCTACACCCCCTGTGCTACTTGGCAGCTGTGTGATTTGGGTGGATGGCTTGCCACTCCAAGTTCCAGGAGTGGGAGTTAACTGGCCGAAGGCAAGCACTATAATCCTCTCCCTCCTCACCACAGTGATTGGGTGCAAGGATCGACTGGCCATTTCTCCCTTGGCCGCTGCTGACTGGTAAAGAGTTGGTTCGACCATAATGAAGCCTAGGAATTCTGTTTGTGAGTTAAGGAGAAGCCCTTTCCTTGGGTAGCTGGGATGCAGAGGTGAGGCTTGGCGTTACAACTGTCCTCTTCCTACCACAAGGATGCAATCTCCACAGTTCTGTGAACCAATGGTGCATTGATCCAAAAATTTTCTGTACATGCTCGTAAATGTCAATTATCAGCCCAAGAATGGGGCTATCCACAGTGAGAGAAAGAGTCAGAAGACTAGCAGAGTGAGCTGGAGCCTAATCAAACCAGGCCTGAAGCATGCCTGAGGTCAAAATTCTTAGTCACCTGACCCAGTAAAGTCCCTGGGGTGTTCAAGGT